AGAGCGCAGGCTCACGGAGCGGACCGTGAACGGCTCCCGGAGCGGACTGTGAACCGTCACCAGCTGCTTCCGGGTCGGTGAGCCACGGGCCGTCACACAGCCTGGACAGAGGGAACACACCAAGGTCGTCGCCACCGCCGCGCCGCACCCGCCGGACAGCCGCGTCCATGGCAAGGCCGGCCGCCGGGGAACGGGGTAGGAGGGACGGGGTTGAGTGCATGTGTGTCCTGTCTCTATGGAAACAGCAGACAGTGCGCGAATGGACTGTGTCCATTCTTGTGGACAGGCATTGTAAACAAGCATCCTTCGGCAAATAACCGAGGGGCGGTGGTTTTTGCTGATATACCAGACGCGCTGGGTCAATGACGAGTCGTTCACCACCAGCGCCCTAACGTACCGAACCACAGGTGGCCTTTCGGCAGTAGCCAGGCGACCAACCAACAGCTCGATGGACGGTGGGTAGCGCGGGGCAGACACAATCGATCACCGAACGTTCCCGTACTCACATGATGGTCGGCAGCGAGGGCCAATCGGACGCGAAATGGACCAGACTAAGGACTGTTCGTGAGTCGGTCAAGTCCAGAGGGGTCACGCGTGCGTTCGGTCACCCCATTTTGTGCTATTTCCGTTGGCCGGTTATGGGTCACGTGGCATAAAGCAACGACCACGTGACTTGAACCATGACTAAATCGGCGAATGCTGACTGCAGCATCACGTGCGGCCAGGCTGCAATACACTTGCGCTAGCGGCATTGTTGCAATGTTGTGGTGTTTTAGAACGGTTCATATTCAAATTTAACGGAATGCATTGTGAAACCAGTTGCTTTTTTGGCATTTTACCCTGTTTTATACAAACTAATGAGCAATGACTGACTGTCATCTCAGCAACTAGGACGTTTCTCTGGTTCTGTCAGGACTTGTGCTTCCTTATAAGTAATATGGAGGCAATGAGGCATGTCACGGTGGCTTTGAAGTAGGGAGCTGAATCATGAGTGAACTGCAAGCTCGACTGAATCACCGTGTTAACGACCATTGGCGTACCATGTATATTAGATAATGATAATTGGACGTCTCAGGCGTGAGAGTCGCAATCATCATTACCTATACGACATCTGACTGGAACGACGGTGGGGTAAACACTGACTAAATATGTCTCACTCGTCGGGAAAAGCACAGGTTTGATGAGCAGCGACCAACGGTTGTGAATGTTCTAGTTGACCCGGGTCTGTAACAAACACCATGGCGGGGTCTGTTAACCCGCGCCCCGCTGGGCTATTCAGCCATACGCGCCCTGCTGGGGGGGGGGGGGGCAGATTCTGCCCCCCCTGTCTAACTTCCGAACCGATGGTCGTAGAAAGACGGGGAAAACGGCAATCGAAAGCTCTCAACAAGGCGGATCTTAAGAGCCCAAATTTTTTTGCTTAAGTAGGTCAGAGGTCAGGTCAAGGTCAGGTCAAGGGTACAAAATGCAAGTTTCTACAGTATTGGCCTTGCACCGTAGTTGCCGAAGAATGGACTGAGACTGATTGCCCAAAACGTGTTCTTAGACTACCAAGACAATATTCGTTGCACACAATGTCATTCAAAGGTCAAGGTCAAGGTCAGGTCAGGTCAGGTCAGGTCACCAAAAACAAAATATAGAAAAGGGCATGTGCGACACATGTTTTATGGGTCATTTTACTCATGGAATTCAATAGGCACACTCAATAAGTGATATGGACCACCTCTGGATGAATTTCAGGTCGAGGTCAGATCAAGGTCAGGTCAAGTGAGGTCAAATTTTGAAGTTGGTTGTTAAGGCCTAAAAAGGTGTCTTTCCGATGCAGTTTTTCACGGCGAATCGAATGGTGCTATTTTCATTTCCGTACGAGGTCTAGAACTTCCAAAAATCATTTTTCAAAATTTTTGTGTGTCGTGACGTCATAGAATTTTGAATAACTCCCACAATTTTGAACCGATTCTTCTAAAAATTGGTATGTAGGTGCACATAGACCACTTCTTTGACATATATTCCGGTTTTTTCGATAAACTCAAAATTTTGGATTTTATAAATATTTTCCCAAAAAAGTCAGTTTTTTGGAAAAATTTTGGCCAAAATCCAAAATTTTCAAAAAACCGAGATAGCCATTTGATAGACAAAGTAGAATCACGTATAACTTTTTTTGTTACGTCTTGATTCCTTTAAAAATGAAGAAGTTAGCGGCGTTTGAAATTTTGCCGTTTTTTAGGCGAAAATGCTGAACATGACGTCACTAAAACGTCAATTTCTCAAAAATTTTCCGACGGATTTCGCTCAAATTTTCAGGGAACGTGTCAAATTGATGTATGATAAGGTACTGAAAGTTTGACGTCGCTGGCGTAACGCGTTTAGAAGTTATTGGCGAAAAACGGGAGGGGGGGGGCAGATTCTGCCCCCCCCCCCCAGCGGGGCGCGGGTTAAGCCTGAAGAATGAACTATCAGTCACAGCCTGTTACCGGACACACGAGGCGAGTACCACACAACATTAAACTCGAGAGAGCGTTGAGAAGTGACATGAGTCGAGAATAATGTCCAGTCGCCATGACGGATTTCCAACTCACAGACTGTGGCCAAGTTCCGGATTATCCCACTCACACGGACTCGGCGTTGGAGCACAGTCGACCCGAACTTCTGCGAAGTCGGCACTGCACAGCTCATGTGAACCGGCCTCTGCATCTAATGCAGCCCTGCTCGGCTACAAGAGGCTGTTTTCCCAGCCGCGCCGATTAGCTTCTACGCTCAGCCGCAACAAGTAACCGCAGCAGCACAGCTTCTCAAGTACAAAGAGTGCCGTGAGGTAAATACACAGAGGGAGTCGAGGAATTGCTGTGTTTAGTGGGAAACGGTTCAGATCTCGGGGAACGGGTCGCATGACGCGCCGTTCCGAGTGATGCCTGATGCGGTAACACGCGACTTTGGGGTTCGCTGGACCCGCTCGCGATTCCGTAACACATGCCAAAATTATGTCATACTAGCTAGATTGCATTCATTGTCAACGGATGGCGACAATCATCACAGCAACGCAGCCGAGTGGCAACGAGCACTCTCAAGTCACCCAGATTGCCAACGGGCTCACGGTAATGAGACTGAGCCCTTGCATCATTACTGCAACAAAGTATCAGCCAGGAATATTCGTTCACTTTTGCGTGCCGTATGAGGACGCAACATGCAGATTTAGCATTTACAAAATGTCTTCAAATCAAGCTCCGGTGGTCTTTGATCGATGGTTGTACAACTATGAGCAGTTCTCCCAATTTCTCTTCCCCTGGCTCAATAACCCTCGCCCGTAAACGGCGATCTGCCACCTTCGCCCATGCAGGGGGGGGGGTTGGTGCGACCCCCCCTTGGCGTTTGAAAACGGAGCGTCGTAGAGCTTAGCGGAAAAGACCAACGGATTGCTCTCGCCGAGATCTCGCGATTGGTGGTATATTTTTTGGTCCTAGGTCAACATTTGACCTACTTTTGACCGGTCAAAGGTCAAATTTTCGGAAAAATAGACTTTTTCAACTTTCCGCGGCGATTGCGGCAAAACGGTGGGAGATATCGACTTGAAACCTTCACTATCGTGTTCCTTGATCAATTCTCTATCGTTTGGTATGTATTTCGTTTCCCTAGCTCTAAAAATGGCGCGTTGGGAGCGCCGGAAGTCGGCAAGGTCACAGTCGGCGGCAGAAATTCGAAAAATCAAAATTTAAATTTTTGAAATCTGATTGTATTTTTGGATTTGGGAGGTCCATTTGCTCCCTATATAAGCTAATATTGCTGCATATTCCCATTGAGGTGACAAGAATTAGCAGAATAGTGGTTCGGGCGCTTTTCAAAAATAGTACCGGACGCTGTTCCTCTTGTGACGTCATAGCTCCGTGACCTGACCTGACCCGGTCAAGTTTCTTATACCATATGATAGCCAATACTTGCCCCAACATGCATGGGAAGTTTCATCACGATCCATCAACCGATGTCCGTACCATCGGCAGGAAACCTCGGGCGTTGGCACTCAGTTTGTGAAAATCCGGCCGGAGGCTGTTCCCTTTGTGACGTCATAACTCCGTGACCTGACATGACCCGGTCAATTTTTTTATCAAAAGATGCGCAAGGTTTGCCCCATAAGGTACCCAAAATTTGGCGGCGCTGCGCGCCGCCGTTTTTGCACTATTTCCGAAAAGCCTCAGGGGGGGGGGGGTTGCACCAACCCCCCCCCTACATGGGCGAGGGATAATATGTCCTTCATAGCATCACGATGTTGTTCAGCTCCCATATGAACAGAAGCACCGACTGCCTCCGCCAATGACTCAGTGGTGTGTCCTTCGCGACAGTCCTATACACGCCCCGCCCTCCGTGACTCGAGCTGACGAACGTTGCAGGGGACCGGCTCCTACTGATCACAGTCACGCAAGCGACCTATCATGCATGGCACGCGCCACTCAGACTCATCAGATGGTCTATATAGGTTATGGGTTATAGGTCTGCCAGACATGCTTCAGGAATTCTTTTTTACTAACTTCCTCGAAGAAACCTATAGCAAATATCTGACTACAAGAATCACTGTGATCCCTGCAGACAAGGAAGACGAACGTCTTTATTGGTGTCTGTTGATGCTTACCAGTGGTTTACCTACTTACCCTTCGCAGTAATCGTGGAAAGTCCGGGCGGTAGCATAATCTAATTATTGCTTACGCAAGGATATCCTTTAAACACACTGATGGGCCATCACCGCATACCGTTTAGCGGCACGGCAAGCACAACTAATATTGCACAATGGTCTTTATGCGTGAGAACACTTCATGCGCCTCAAAACTTGTTTCAGGTGTGGCACGCTTAAATGTTTGTTCCTGCGGCTCTCAAATAAGAAGATGCCATAGACAAGCAGTCATCAATAAACACCTACTGAGAAGCATGTCTTCCTAATCTCGCCTGGGATTTCAGAAGATCGGGACATTACCACACACACCGGCCGCAAACTCTTTGAGTCGAGTACTCACCGTTCGATGATGAGGTCGACGACGGCGCGCGCGCTGGTGAAGGAGCGGTAGGTGGCCAGGAAGATGGTGATGTAGGTGGCATCCAGCTCTCCCGAGTGTGAGCCCAGCGAGGCCACCAGCCGCTCCAGGGTGCCAGCTTTGATCAGCCGCACCCGCACCGTCTCCCACTCCAGGTGCGATATCTCGTCATCCGAGTCCTGCGAGATGGGTTACAGAGGTCACAGACTGGCATACGGGTCAATTGGACGAGACTTCTGTCCTGAGTTCTGTCCTAAAGAGGATACAGTTTATCTACATAGATACATTTTCGTTTTTATGATTTTAGCGAACATTGTTGAAATGCAGGTAGCTTTTCATTAATTTTGAATTGATTGATTTCAGCTTCTAATTATTTCATCGAATGCTGTTTATATGCAGTGAGATGATGTTTTTCGTACTCCAGCGTAGATGTACGATCCCCGTACAGCCCAAATCTTTAACGAGCTTGAAAAAAAGATGACTGATGTCATCACTGTCAACCGTGGAAGCCGAATGGCTACCCATCTACGCTGGAGCACGAAAAACATCATCTCACGCTCTCAGTCCCAGCGGATAAAAACAACACCTAAGAATGTTTATATGCAGGTAGCCATTCATCAATATTGCACTGATTTGAGGAAGCGAGAAGTATACTTTACGTCAACAAATTCGCTTCTACTGTGTCCATTTCTTCATCATCCAAGGCAATCGGAACGTTCCACATTTTTCGGTTCGTTGCGTCACAGCTGTTTGCACCGTCGTGTGTGCCCACTCAGCGGTGTGCACGGCACGCTGTGCACTGTGCACGCCAGGTGCACGGTACCTGTCCGGGCCGGGCCGGGCAGCGCCACTCCGCTGAGCCGTGAGTCACCTCCCGTGGGCCGGGCACGCCGGGCTCGGAGGGGAACAATGACTGCACGGTGACGAAACTGGGTCCGCTAACGACCGACCGAGACCCAACGACCGACCCAGGGATCAGCCGGATAACCGTGAGACTAGCCGGGAAAGACCCAGACGTCAGAGACCAGAGGAGACCAGGAGACCAACCCAGACCCAGAGACTAGCTAAAAGCGACCAAAGACCAATCACGACCCAGAGACCAGTCGGGAGCCAGTTATGTAGAAACCGGCCGGGACCAACAGACCAGGCTTACCCACCTGACCTGGGCCCCATGACTATAATGTCACAGCCCTGCGAGAGAGTCGGCGAGTTCGTAAGAGGTCTCCGGTTCTGTCTCGTCGCTGTCAGCCATCTAATGGTCCTTAGGGCTAACACCTCGTCTTGGCCTCGCTGAGGCAGGGGGCGTGGCACGAAACACCGGCAAAGGCGGCGCCGGCGGGCGCACTCGAGACTCGTTAACATATAAAGGTTATAATGTATGTATCAAGGTTTCACGGACGGGAACGTAGGCATCTGACGCCTGACGGATGTGATTCGGCGCACTTGGCCAAGAAATCCAATGCTCTTTTGAAATGCATTGATCTACAAGCGCCTGAAATTATATGCAAATTTCAGGCGCTTGAAATAAGCATGGTGCGGGCTTGAATCAGGGTAGCTATGGAAATAGCAGACATTTGAATTCGCCGTGGCTGTGGCACATAAAACGGGGCAAGTATGTTGAGAAAATAATAGTCTTTTCTAGACCTTTACGTAACAAACAATACCAATGACAAAAACTGGAACCGGACGAAGCAGAGTAGAAAAGGTCCGGGCAGATTGAGATTCTAGCAAGTTTTGTGCTCTAAGTGGTTTGACATTTGTCTAAGCAAGTACAATAAAACCCATTTATGCATGCTTATTACTCGACACGATCAATAACACCACAGATATCCTAGCACACTGCACCCTTCCCCTGCGAGCGCCGTGTGTACTCACGCTGTCTCCGGGCGTCCTTCCCGGGTGGTGGTAGCGCACCTTCTTGAGGTACACCGAGCAGACGGCGTCGTCGCTCTTCTCGTCCCCCCACAGACGCCACGACTGTTGCTGCAAACAGAGACAGACGCGCTCACTGCTGTGTCCACGGTCCCTCTCCCCACAGGGCGGTCCACAGGTGGGCCACAGCGCCGGCCTGGGCGGCAGGACGGTGCCCAGCAGCTCCATCGGCTGCGGCCGGCCGGCAGACTGCACGCACCGTCACGGTGCCTGTGACCGGCGGCTGCAGGAGCCGTTCCGCCGCGTCAGCAGCGGTCCGCGGCCCGCGGTCTGCGCCCGGGCTGAGCGGCGGGCGCGGCCATCTGCGGCGCAGGAGCCTGCCTCCGCGCCCGCCGCCGCCCGGCTGCCATCTGTCTCCGGGAACGGTTCTTTGGTCGACGCGGGTCATTCAGGACTGAGTGAGGCCGAGGCGGTAGTAGCCGCCAGGGAGACGTGATGGTGCAGCGTCATTCAGGAATGATCAGGGCACCCGAGCGTGTGAGCACGACTATTATCGTTTGCGGACCGGGGAACTCGGAGCCTGCGAATGGTACCTGCAACTGGATGGTGGATTGGAAGCTAAAATTTACTTTGGGCTACATATGTGTGTATAAAAAGTTTCTAGCACCTATGTAAGTGGTGCTAAACTGGGTAGAGATTAAAGTGAGAAAAGAACACGATGACACGAGCGCTTTAACTTTGTAACTTTTGCTGAAGAAACGAGCCCAGGCGGGTCGTATATCATCACTACGGCCAAATCAGTGGGGGAAACTGTGGTCAAATCTTCTATTTTTGGAAGCCTTCCATTTTTGGAAGGACCTTCCATAAATGGGTATGCATTTTCCAAAAATGGAAGGCTTCCAAAATTGGAAGGTCTAATCTCAGTGTTCCCAACTGTGATTCACATTCTTTGATTTAAGTTACGGCCTTTTTAAATGTGTAACATTAATAGTTGATTTTGCCATTTATGATCATTGATATAAGGAGAAGCAGCAGTGCTAGTGTTGGTAATACAGGCATGCTATGTCAATGTACATAGTGATATAATAGCATGGTGTCCTGGCGCACTGCTCTCTTTTTCTACTTCTAGAGGACACATAGAAATTCAGAAGAGAAAACAGCTGGTCAATAACCAACCAGGAGGAACACAGCTATAGCCCTGACAAAAAATGGTTTAAATTAAACTTACTATTCCTCATATAAATTGAAGATTCATGCTCCTTCGATAGAAAGTAACACGAAAAACGGCGCAGCAACGCCTATTTAATTCGTCCCATATTCCAGAAAAAAACATTGAAAAATGACGAGACCTCCACCCAAATGTTTGGCAAAAGCCTTAAAAAATTAAAATCAACCACACATTATGCTAATAAATGCAGAAAACGGCAACAAATACAAGTTTTACTCGCCACTACACTCCCGAAACCGCCGCACTCTGTCCAGACAATTCCGCACTGTAAATAAAGTCGGCGGTATCGAACAAGCATGGCCCGTCACTAAAGTACTTTTAAGGATATTTACTTTTCGTTTTTGATGCTTTTTGCTTACAAAATGTTTGATAAAGTCTTATAAAACCATCGTTTGTCGGTAAATTTTTGTCAATTTTCCACGACTCATTACTTTGAAAAATTACCTAAAATACATCCACGCTAGGATTTAGGCATCCACGCTAGATTATGGACACTTCACTATGGCGAATAGAAAGCGACCAGGGGCGATAGTCGCATTTGCCTCATGTTCGGCGGAAATCGGTAAGTTCCAACATATGCGCAACATTTTCTATATTTGGGTACGATGACGTCGTCAGCGTACCCATTTTTGGAAGGTGCGTACCCATATATAGAAAATCCTTCCAAAAATGGAAGGCTTTCTAAAAATGGAAGATTTGACCACAGTTTCCCCGACTGAAATAGGACGGCGGTGACCGCGATTCTCGATCCCAAAGTGATGGCTCGTTTGGGGCGGAGGCGGCTCGCACGCCCGGAGGCCAGTTTCGCTCTCAATAGCATCCCGAAACTGTGCGATGGGCGCTCATTAGGTAGCCCCGAGTCCGTCAGACGTGTGGGTAAGTGGCACGGCCTGGCCAGTGAAACCGGCGCGCCGACGCAAGGACGTGCGACTCCCGGGGTGTCAGACCGGGGAGGCCGCCGTGCATGCCAGCGCCACCGCTGACGGAGAAAACCGGATCTATAAATCAGGTACGGAGCGACAGAGGCCTGCGGCGGTGGCTTGATTCTGATATTTGGATACAGGTTGCTGCAGTTAGGGGCGGTGCAAAATAAAGAGGACTGATAAAAGTCAGAAAAAATGAGATCTGATAACATCACAGTAAATAAAGGATACCTATTGAGATGCTTGTGTCAATATTCTTTGATATGTAGCAGATAAAGATGAAATATGCATTTTCATCCGAGAAGTTCCGCTGCACCGAGATAAAACAGACTCGATAGTCGATAAGCCTTCAGGCGACACAAACCGGTCGGCAATAGCGAGACCCTCGATCGGACAGCGGGTTCATGGCACCGTAGCGGGCCCGGAACAGCTCCTCGGCGAAGGACACTCCTCGTCAGATCGCATCTCGTCTTCCCGATCAGCTACTTCCGCGTGACTGGGAGCGCGTGTAGGCGGGTGTTTTAGTGCGCCACTTCCCGCCGCCCGTGCGCCGGAGATGAGCCATCAGGGGGAAACTGGACGCACTTGTCTCCCAGGGAGTGAGGAAGTGACTCGACAGAAAACGGAGACAAGATGATTCCGACTTCCCTTCCTGTCATGACTGCGGTTTGAGTAAAAAAGAACAGAAGCTAAGGGATGGGAGGGCGGTGGAAACGTGATGAAATGTATCGCATCCTGCATGTTTTTGTCGTGACGTCAATGCCTAAGATCGATGAGCCATTACCGGCGGCTCAGTGCTGACGGCTGCGTGTGACAGATGCCGGTCTGACATCGTCCGATGCACGCCCACACAGGTCAATGGAACGCTGGTTCGACCAATGCAGGGGTCCGGCGCGCGCCCACCTGGGTCAATGGAACACTGCAGGTCGACCCCTCTACCGGCACACCTCTGGTCAATGTGTACACGGTGATCCAACGACGAAAGTGCAATCAATGCACTGGTCCGTTGACAAAACTACTAAGAAGTGCAATAAACCCAGTGTGAGCCAGGGAGTAAACCGTGCTGACTGATCATTACAAACAGTCCCCAGTGGCAGGATGATGGAGAAAATAATGTTGCAGTAGAACTAGTACCAGCCAGATAACAAAATCCAAAACTTCATCTTTCACAATCACGGAACACACGAAACCGGTTTTCGACCAGAAGTCGGGTCATGCCCACGCAATGTTAGGTCCTTCAAGTCTTTCCGTTTACATGGGATTACTCGAATAGGTTCAGGCCCCGGCAGTGTGGTCACTCTCACAACGGAACCGAGGCAGGTGTGCGAGAGTTGAGGATTCCAGGAATCAGGTATACATAATATGTGGCCGCCTAATCCTGATACACCGGGTGTATGTACATACAAAGTGCCCACGTAAGGCAACATCCCAAACAGAACAAGTTAAGTCGTAACACATAATCTGCAATCTGCATAATCCCACACAAGAGACGACTGGACGGGATTTCGTTGGTCAATCCCGCCACATTCCAAATGCAGACAATCGCGGTGGTCGCGCCTGGGTGCCTGTTTAGCATCGACTTTCAACATAGCCGCCATTGCGACATCGCGGAACCAAAGCCACCTGGGCCATCCTCTCACCACGTCTCCCGCCTCTCACCGACAAATCCATGGCCATGGGGTGAGAATCCCTGTAAACAGTGGCGTACCCAGGAATTTGCGAAGGACCAGGGCATTGGACGAGAGGGCGCCAATCAAGGAGGGCGCCAACAACAAGGAGGGCGCCACATATCTGAAACTTGAATGTGTCAGTTATGTTCGTACACGTGCGGAACGAACATAACTGACATACTGGACAGAGGGGCGCCACCCACCATCATCTAGGAGCGCGACGCTATCGATTGGAGGGGCGCCAATACTGGACAAAGGGGCGCCACCGGCCCACCATATCGTCTAGGAGGGCGCCACTATCACCAGAGGAGCGCCAATACTGGACAGAGGGGCTTCGCCATCAACTAGAAGCGCGCCGCTATCGACTGGAGGAGCGCCAACACTGGACAGAGGGGCGCCAGTCACTGAGGGCGCCGGGGACGATGAGCCAAAGGGACAGGGCATGCACGGAATGTCCTGTATGTGCGTACGCCACTGCCTGTAAAAGCCGTTCTCTGTCGCCTGCGTCAGCTGAGGAGGCCCTCGGGCGACGACCGACCAGTAGCTAAGGGAGGGGCGCCGCTCAGTCTCTGAGTGCTGGCGGCAGGCCTCGGGTAGTTGTTAGGATTCCTGGGCGTCTGTATCGCGCTGCCCGTGACGCTGACTCACGACCGAAGCCCGACCTCAAGGTCACGAGGCCTTTGTGCCCGAGGCATTGTTCTCGGTCACGTGCCGGCGGCGGCGGCGTCTCGGCCGTCTCAATGGTAGCACAATGGACGACGATTAGAGGCCTCCTCTGGCAGGGAGCTGATACTAATTGGAAAACGTGTAGGCATTTTGTAAATGTGATGGAAACCTATTTACTGGATAGCAGACCATGAAACTAGCATGTTTGTCTGATTCATGTTCAGCGGACAGCCATAGAATGGCGAGTGGTCAAAAGAACCGGACTGAGCCGTTAGGACACTGTACCAGTGTACTTACCAACTAAGGCGATACATACATCCTGGAGTCAAACTCGACAAACCTAGTGCTTCCAAATAAGGAGAATGGGCTCAATGGAGACAGGTAGCAGCCTATTGTGTGTTTAGGAGCTTTGACGTGTATTTTACCGACACGTTCCCAACCTCAACTCATTCAAATAAAAGAACAGCGAGAACACTTTATTTTGATGGCTTATCATGAAAGGTCACTGCATAACTGAGTGCATTAGCCGATGAGCCAGTCCGACTGAAGCTAATGTTGTGCCAGTACCACTGGTTGGGATCGTGTCGCCCTCTCCAACCCCTGATATCCCAGCAGGTGCCGTCCCTCAGCGTCCCCTCCTCTCTCTCCCCCCATCTCTCATCAGAACAGCGCGCAGCCCACGCGCCCACCGACACCAGACCCGGCTGATGGTTCACGGGGACTGTCGGATGCTCACGACCAGCGACAGGTGCGTGTCAGATACCAGCAACCCGACACCGCAGTACCACATCAACAGCATGCAGTGTTAAACTAATGAGCGCTGTGAGTCCAGTCAGTCAAAAGCCCGACATATGTGTAACAGATGTGTGACGAAATGAGGAAAACGTTAGACAGGAGCGTCGTGAACGTCTGACTAACGTCTCTTTTGTAAGAAATCTCACAAAATATTTACAAAAGCCCGACAAGGGTTGTAAAACGCCGTGCAATGTCACACGAAAAACTGACAAACGCATGACGAATTAAAGCGAATGTCTGACAACTGTCCAATAAAGGTCCGACAAAGGTCTGTAAACAGACGGCAAGATATAGCCACCTGAAAGACATCTGCCACAGCTCTAAATTATAATACACTTACAGTCCACGGCATAAGTAATGTGCGGTTTCAGTCCTGGGTATGTTCTGCTTCTGAAGCTTAGGAATGATTAGCCAGACCACAATGAAACTTTGAATGTAGCTAACCTGTATCGTTACCCTTGCAGCTGCAACTTTATCTATTGTTGACGTCTTCTTTTCGATCACTCCGCAATAAAAAAAATCGCCAGTCAAAGCCATCCGTTGAGGTTGGTAAAACCGCACATTACTTTAGCGGTGGGCTGTACCTACATCGACATTGCCCTCAGTCCTCACACAGTTGTGAGCCTGACACAGCCCTGGGTCTGACACAACCCTGCCACAGCCGCTGACACGGCCGCTCGGTAACTCACCGGGGACTGGTAGACGTACCAGCGGGACATGCCCCGCTTCTCGCAGGGGTCGTGCCGCTCGTTGAGCCACACGCCGCTGTCGGCGGTGCCGTCGGCGCCACTGCCGTCGCCCTCCGTCGGCGCCGACACGTACCACACACTGCGGGCGCGCGTCGGTCCGTCGGTACCGTCGGCACCGTCGGAGCCCCGGCGCGGCGGCAGCGTGCCCGTAGAGCCGCGGCGGCCCGAGCGACGGAGGCCGCCCCAGCGCGACCTGCCCCAGGTGCCCCACAGCGAGCCCGACATGGCCCGGCGCTGGTTCAACACCTCACCGGTTTCCCGACTCAGGCCACACCGCGGCGCATCACAGAGCGGACGGCTGACTGCCGAGTGGAATCACACCTGCGCCGGGCTGCGCACTCAGCTCCAACGTGCCGACCGCTCCTCAGACAACACACCTCTCAGAGGCGCCCTCCCAGGGTCACCGCGGGACAAAACACCACTCAGGATGGGTCTAGAGGTCACCGCCGCAGCGCGCGGACCACCGACCGTCCTCCCCGGTCACCGTCTGTCGCCTCACTGAGACCACCACAAACCCGACGGCCTTCGCATCACGTGCATCCTCCTGCACAGCCGGCGCCAGCCCGCACGGTACATGACTAACGCCAGTGGCGCGGGGCAGCCGCCGCGCCGCCGCCGCGTCCGGCCCCCGCGCCGCCGCGCGTGTCGCCCCCCGCCCTCCCGTCCGCCAGTGGCGGCGTCATCCGCAGGACAGGGGGAGGGCAGCGGAGCAGCACTGATCGCCCCACACGGGCGGCGGCAGCGAGGGGTCGTCGTTCCGCGGGACTGAGGGGAGGAGAGTGCGCACAAAGGGAGCCGCTCCCCGCCAGCGGAGCACCTGCACGCGCCACTTGTTACCGGGCCCGCCCAGTGACGTCACCAGGGGTGGTGACGTCACGTGTCTTCGCACACCTGTCGCCTTGGCAGGACTTTGACCCGGCCGCGGCGCGCGGGACCGCCACAGGTGGGAGACTGTTGTGGGTCGCGTGCCATCGATAAAGGGAAGGGGTGATGGAGGGGGGGGGGGAGGTGAGCGTCGGACTTTGGTCGACTGGGTAACACTGTTTATACAGAGCGTCAGTGGATGACACATCAGTCCGCACTGTTTGCATCCGGGCGATCAGGCGTGTTTGGTCTTCTGTTGATACAGGGCGACAGTTATCGAAAGACGGCCGCGTTTGACTGATGTAGCGTTTGTCTCCAATCACAGCTAGTTATTGCGGGAGTAAATCATATGTGCCACACGATGTTAGTCTGGACTCTAGTCCCAGAAGGTCTACATTGTTACAGTTCATAGCAAAGTGTGCATAACTGTATCTAAGTGCAGTGCACCGTGCAAACCGTACAGCTTTGCGCTGAATGCTGATCAACGATGTATGCTAAAAAGGAGGTCAAACGTTGAAAACCTCTACAGACCGGGCATGTTTGATGCCAAGTGGACAAAAAAAGTTGCTTGCTTACACGAATATGTCTTTACATACACTGAAAACAAATGGACACAGTGAGGGCATGTTCTGTACTGGTAACACATCAGGCATGTGTTAATCGCACCCAAAACACAATATGGCTGAGTATTTTCACGCTTGGCGGGACCTTCGACACGTTTGATAACACATAAAGCAGAATAATGACACAATTTTATCGTGTTAAGCACGCTGGACGAATGTAATGCATCAGTGTATCGAAATCATGTGTTGTCGGATATGGTAGAAGTGTACCCTTGCACAAATACACCGTGCCATCCACCAGTGAGCGACCTCTGAACCTTAACTTCAAATGGGGATAAGAGAGGGCGTTTTTCGAGCATCGACTTTTATGCTGGGTTTTTGTAAAAATTTGTCAAAGTGTTTTGAGAAAGGTCAAAATGCACAATACAGCCGAGGGAGTCGATACATGATAAATTGTCTAGAGCAATATGCGCTGATTACATTAAGTGCAAGCTGAAGCATAGCTAATTAACGTCTGCTTGGAGGAAGAAACTCCTCCGTCTATATAGGATATATTTGAAAAATCGGTGGCCGTAAGTTTATCCCGGCTGTCTGGACAACTGTATTGAACAGTAGTCCTCCAATTTGGGACTTCGTCACTTGGTGCTCTGATTGGGCCGTCCACGTGACGCGTTCACCCATCGGCTCTGAAGTGGCCGACCGGGCGCAACTCCAGCTTCGTCACTTGGGCGTTGTAACTTGGGTCGGCCGCCCGCGTGCTCAGCCCTGACCGCGCCCTGACCGTATGGGTCGGCCGGCCGGGTTTTTTTGTAAAAATGCTTCAGCAGCCCTGACCGCACCCGAGCGCCCGATTCCACTCGGGGCCCGGCTTTGGCAATCAGCCTGTCCAGCCAAAGCCATAGTCCCTTCAACTGCGCCCCGGCAACAAACTACATAATCACCACGTGTTTCCTTCTTTCACTTGCGATTTGTGTTAAATTTAGTAACATATTTACCTTGTATTCTGCAAATGTATTCACACAAGCCTTATGTGTTGAAGACACAATGATATTGTGTTTTAGGACACAACACGACTGGGCTAACACATTTGTAAATTGACACGTCTGCGACGGGTCAAAAAATGCATGATGCAGGGTACACAAGAAAGCCTAGTTAACACGCTCTGCCTGTGCGTTTTTAGTCGTTTTTTGTGTCATTTTGTTTTCAGTGTACGTGGCTGGTTGTAACTTAGTTAGCCAATGTAACAGTATTTTGTACTAACTCACCCATACCCAGGCAATGAAGTGGCCTTTTTATCGGTTGGCTGATGTCAGAAAGAAGATCAACAGCCTAGTTATTTTATATATCTATTTTCATCTTTCTATTTTTAGAAAGCAAGCCGTCCTGTCACATGTCAGTGATGTAGGACATCAGCACGGTAGTATTTACGTTCTGCCTGTCACAACGGTGACGGCTGACATTCAGTTGCCTGTCGACCTTCGTGACCCGGCACATTTCGTCCGCGGCGCTGCCCAGCCAGATCGATAGGTAACCGGTTCACTAGGTAATAAACTATCAGGTATCTGCAAATGAGTCCGTGAGCTCTGTAGGTACATAATAGAGCACTTCACGGATAGGCTTTTCAGGATCCGGCCCGGCCCATATGCCCCCCCCCCCCCCTCGGGCGTTTAACAAGGCAAGTCGACTTGTAAAAGACGTTTTGCGAACACAGCTGCAAGGCCTTTTATTTCGAAAAGCTAAGCAAATACGGTGTTATCGAAACCAATAACACTTCCAAAGTGCTCGAACAATGCGAAAACTAGCACAACCAAACGCTGATGACCAACGAAAATTGTACCTATTACCTCTAGAAAAAGAAACAGAAAAAAGAAACAAAAACAAACTCCTTGAAAAAAGAATGCCACGCCTGCCGCAGGTGCAGGCGTTTTAGCATCGGGGGCGTTTTTTATCGGGGGGGCGTTTTATAATCCTCGAAGGGAGGGCCTCTTAAAAAAATGCAGTGTTTTAACGTCACAATATTTATGGTTTATGAGACATTTGCAGCGCACCAGAACATGGTCTATTCTGAAGCTAACATGTGACAATTTCGATGAGATAAGATTGCATTTGATAGTCATTGTTTTTTCAGATATATAAGGGTGATAAAGATGCATATATCTAGCAAGTAAAGGGGCAAAAACAGAAACAGGCTTACCAAAAGTCGCTGCGACGCACCTGATACCTCAGGTTTCGTGAGTTGTTGTTTCAAGAGGGCTTCTGCTTTACAAGAACATTAAAAAATAAATAACATTATTGGTTTGGTAAAAAAAGCGATGGGGCCTCTTACCGACCCTGGGCGTCTTACACGGATCTCCCCTACATCCAAAAAATATCCATAATAATCCGTTTCATTACAAACCGGTTGTGAGACTATCAGCATATCGCCATAAGATCCAAACGTTGGACACTAGGAAGCTATCAAATTGTAATAACAGCAATCTTAGCCACTGCAAAATACATTTTGTGGTAAAAGCTGCATTGATAAGGATAGGGGTAACACATTGACATGGACCTCAGCATTTCACAAGGTTGGCTATCATTAGAATTGTTAAGAATCTACTGTGGTCTATAAAAGGAAGAGTACTTATTCATATAGCAAAACCACAATCAATTAGTAAGTCAAATGGTAGGTAATAATAAGTATAATACAATGAATAAATAAAGTTTCATGACATTGGCAACATTCTATATGGGAAAAGGCAGAATCAAAACACCTCAAAACACATTGTTTGGAAACTAGCCTTGGAATGTGGTCTGACACACTCTACAAAGAATTTGACACTGAAAACCCAGCTGAAAAGGTAGGTATTAAATAGCCTTGAGCCTGACTTTGGTCCTAAAATGAAAGGAAGATAAGTTAAACCGGCATTTTGTCGTATCAACAAGACGACACAACACAATACACAGACAAAATTGACGATAGTGGCGCAAAAAAGCAAGCAAGGATTGATTTTTTTAAGATCCGCTCTCTCTTTATGAAATAGGCGAGCTGATGACGTAATATTGATTCGTTTACCCTTTAAGTTGAATTTCTGATCAGAAAATATTTTTTGGCGTCATTTACACTGAAAATGTTGATAACATCAGAATTTAATATCGTCTTGGATCGTTTTTATTTCTAAAAAAATCATCCACGAGGCATTGCGCCAAGTTTAAAACTTTTTTTGCAGCGTTTTATTCAGCTGGTTAAAAGCATCTGTTATTGCGCATGTGTTTCTAACCTTGCGCAGTGTTTGTTGCTGTCTGGAAGATTGAAAAATTCGAGAACGCATTATCGTTTTTATACATATTATATGGGGACTGTTCTCAGGACAAGTGAGTTATTAACACATTTTTTACATGATTCGTATCTTATTCAGGAACCAGCGAGCCATGGTGGATATGATGCCATGGCGGTTGTTCTCGCTTCCTCGGTTAGGAACATGGCTGAGTCTGCAGATTTTATGTTGTGACCATCTATATTTAAAAATTTGGTTGGTGCTGCCATATACCTTACAGACTATCATGGCTCACAAAGGTATGCTTATAAATCTCATGTAAATCAATTAATACTTCTGCTGCAGTGCCTAACAAGTTAAGTTACCTAATTCTTAACATGAATATTGAATGCTACAATTTTATCCGTTCTGATCCGTGTTCAACATTCAATTCCCAAATCCGGCCCGCCCAGATCCGTTCTATTTTCCAAATTTGGGATCCAATCCTATCCGGTCCACGGATTTATCCGTGGATAACGGATTTATCCGGCCCATGAAGTGCTCTAGTACATAATGTTCAGAAACCTGTCAGAACCTGACTGGACGAAAAGGGGCCATGCTAGATAGCTCCGGCGAGTACACAATGCTAACAGATACTGGAACACGTGCTGCTTTACCATTCCAAGTAATCTAATGTAAGAAACAATAATTTTATGCATACTTTTTCAGTGTGTTTTGTATTATATTAACAAAGCTGGTGCAAAAAATCACTTTTAATTCCAAGTACATCTAATACGATAAAATACACGTATACAACAAAATCAACGTCATAATGACCAATGATCCGTCAGCCCCTCTCCGTCCCCCTCCCTCGCTGTTGACCTCTCCACCTGCGCCACCGAGCGTCCCGATAACAGTCGAGCTGTGTCAGCCCGGCCCTTCAGTCGAGCTGTGTCGGCCTCGGCCC